ATGTGGGTGTACAAACTTAGAGAAAAAGAACAAGTATTATGTGCGTTCAAGAAGTTAAAAAGATTCGTTGAAAACAGGTCTAATCACAAGCTAAAATCCTTATGCATCGACCGAGGTGGCAAGTTCTTATCTCATAACTTCTCAAAGTTTTGCCAAGAGGAAGGTATCAAGGGTCAACTCACCGCACTCTACACTCCATAGCAAAACGGTGTGGTGGAGCAAAGAAAGTGCACCATATTGAGCACTGCAAGAAGCTTACTCAAGAGCATGCAAGTCCCGACGATTTTCTAAGGTGAGACAATTCGACATGCAATTTATCTTCTAAACTATTTGCCAATAAAGGCACTGGACACTCGTATCCCTATGAAGCATGGTTCGGTAAGACACCTTACTTTGAGCATTTAAGAGTCTTCAGTTGTACGACATATGCTAAGATTGTCAAGGCATATATCAAAAAACTTAATGACAAAATATGGTATATTTTGGCGTGGATGATCGGACCAAGGTAAACATATTATATAATCTTCAACGAGAGAAATTCATATGAGTAGAGCTGTCATATTCGAAGAAGAGAAGAAGTGAGATTGGTGCAGCGTCGGCGATAACAAACAGACAGTTACAGAATTTACTACTCTGGAAGAAACGGGAGATGTGACAAACCTATAAAGTGCACCGACAGCGAGACCAACAAATCCACACATGTCATCACGGACTAAGGGTGGAAAAAGTAAATTTCGTTCCCTTGCTAAAATTTATGCAGATACACTTGAAGAAGAATTGGATCCCGAAGAGTTAGTGTTGCTCGAGACCGAGGAGTCAACAACTTACCAAGAGACAATAACTAAGAAGACATGGCAGGAGGCCATGCAAAAAGAATTTGAAGCCATTGAGAAGAACGAGACATGAGCACTCACTACCTTACTGCCTAGACAAAAGTCCTTCGGTCTAAGTCTTCGGTTTAAGTGGGTGTTTAAGTTGAAGAAGAATAGGGAAGAAAATGTCATCAAGCATAAAACAAAACTTGTGGCAAAATGACTATAGCAATAAGGAGTTGATTTTGAAGAAGTTTTTGTGAATGTGGTTGGACCGAATGAACTCTTCTATATAGCGGAAGTATTGGGAACCATTATGATTTTATTAAGAATTAAAAAAATCAATAAATATGAGAGCAAGAACTAATCCAAGACTTGCAGGAGCCTCTGGAAAGAAAATGCACTCGAGTGTCCTATTTATAGGGACTCGTAGAATCTTTGTCATATAAATATTTGAATATCTAATATATTAGAATATAATATCGTGTATAAATCATATTTAAATATTATAAGATATTTTAATATATATTTAATTAATTTGAATCTCAAGTTAAATTTTAAATATATTTTTATATAATGTATCAATATACATTATCTGTTTTAATACTTAAATGCAATATTTTTTTTTTCTTTTTAAATATCTAATATATTAAATATTAATTTGAACCTTTTAAATTAAATATACTTTTATTTATTTATTTAATATATCTAATATATTAAATATTAATTTAAAATTCAAATTAAATCTATTTTATTCTTCATATTTAATATATAATATATTAAATATTAATTTGAACACTTCAAATTAAATTGAACCCATTACTATGAGCAAGAGGGGACTTTATGGACCTACAAATTATAACCTCCCATCATACAAAATTAATTAAAAACTCTTTAATTAATCAATTTTCATTTATTAACTATGGGTCACTCCACTATAGACCTAGAGTTGCACTCTTATGTACTGTAGAACAAGTTATGTCCATAGATATAATCTTTACAAGCAGGTCAATCTTTCACGAGTTGTTCATAATTATAGTTGGGTCAAAAGTACGTTTTACCCCTATAATTACAACTTTCATGTAAGGATAAAAAGAATGTGGTCACCGAAAAAAAAAGGGGCGAGAATTTCGAAGACTTGCCAAAATTCTCACACCCTTATCCTGCAAGTTTCCTCGACGCCAAGAATACTCCAAAGACCTTCAGCCACGCCTCACACAATCCACCTGCAAAGAAAAATAACATGATAAAGAGGAAAAATAAGGGAGAAGAAGAAAAGACTATTGAGTTACCTCATGATGAGCACGACGCTGACAATCACCTTGTCAAGACTCATTGTGTTGTATAGTGTAGATAACACGATGTAAGAGAGGACTGACAAGCTAGGAAACACCATGATGCATACGAGCGATTACTACAGAACAATATTGCAGCTTTATCGGCCAAGAGGATGAACTGATAGTCAGTTCCACTCTCTGTGTGCACATCTGAACCTTGGTAGGCATGTATTCAATGTTCATGATATATATAGAGTAGCACCTTAGATTAAGCAGAAAATTTTGGGTCGTTACATTTCACCTTAATCACTACTGATTTTCTAATGAACAGGGTCATTACATTTCACCTTAAGCACCACTGATTTCCCAATGAACAATTTGTTTATGATTAGTCCCTCCCGAACCAATGAGAGGGTGAGGTCCTTTCTCATGATATTATGCTCCCAACTCCCTATTTGGTCAAGTCCCCAAAATGGTAGGCATAGACATATTGAATTGGCTACAAAAGTCATTCTCACTCGTGCAAATTAAAGGACAATCCCTCGTAAGCAGAACTTCATAACTCACTAAGGAGTAAGATCGAGTCATATATGATCATCATGTGAAATATTAATTTTCTCAATTAACGAATTTATAAAAAGAAATTAAATATTTCTTAGTCCAATCTTATACAAACTCATTATACACGATACCCCACTTACATGGGTCTCTACATGAATGCTTTGGATCAAATCATTTGTACGATTACAAAGTGGGTCGTATCAATAGTGCTATCAGAATAAGACACCCAACCTTATTAATATATCATAGGCTCTTTAGGTTATTACTTCAACACGATTCTCTTGTATGACAATCACATACTCTTCAAGATTACATTAATAACCTTGGATTTTCATACCATGGATAATATTAAATTTTAAATAAAATAATAAAAATTATTATTAAAATTAAATAATTAATTACGAGGCTCTATGGCATAAATCCCAATAGTGGTAGACTCGACATTGTAAGATTGATTCTTGCTCTCGCAGCCCAACACGGGTGGGAGGTCCATCACTTGGACATCAAGTCAATGTTCCTAAATGGTGACCTCCAAGAAAAAGTGTACATCGCCCAACCGGAAGGTTTTATCATCAAAACTGAAGAGTCCAAAATGTACAAGTTATCAAAGGCTCTCTACGATTTACGGTATGCACCGAGGGCATGAAACATACATCTGGACAAGAGTTTAAAGAGTCTAAACTTCATGAAATGTTCACATAAACAAGCAACGTATACAAGAAACAATGGAACTAAAACACTCATAGTTGGCGTGTGCATTGATGGCTTGATCGTCACGGATACAAGTGAGGAAGACATCAAAGAGTTCAAGTAGTAAATGATGAAAGAATTTGAGATGACTAATCCCATATTAGTCAAATACTACCTTGGTATTGAAGTAGACCAAAGGAAAGATTGCATCGTGATAAAGCAATCGACTTATACTAAGAAGGTGTTGCAACAATTTAAAATGACAAACGCAACCCGACCAAGTATCCTCTGGGAGCAAAGTTATAACTCGAAAAAGATGCTAAAGAAAGCTTGGTGAATTCCATTGAGTATAGGCGCGTCATTGGAAGTTTGAGGTACTTCACTCATACTCATTCGGATCTTTCATATGTTGTTGGAATGATGAGTAGGTACATGAAAAAACCTACTATGATGCATCATCAAACAGTTAAGCACATTCTCCACTACGTGAAGGAAACCATAAGCTACAAGCTAATGTATCAAAGATGGTGAGGTCTTGAAGAACTAGTCAGTTTTACCGATAGTGATTTAGCTAGAGTCACTGACGATAGAAAAAGCACCTCATGAATGGTGTTTTATCTCAACAAGATTTAATCTCTTGGCAATCTCAGAAGCAGCGAACTGTGACATTATCTTCTTGTGAGGCTGAGTTCATGCTAGCAACTACGACATCATGCCAAGCATTATGGCTGAGAAATTTGTTGAGCGAAGTGACCAAAAGTGAACTAAAGTCGGTAACTCTCAACGCTGATAAAAAATCTACGATTTCTTTGATGAAGAATCCGATATTTCATGGATGCAACAAACACATTGACCTCATTTCCACTTCATTTGTGAGTGTGTCGAAAAAAGACAGATCGTTGTGGAGTTCATATGCAACAGAGAGCAACATGCGTACATTCTCACTAAGCAAGGTAAGCTTGGAACTAAGCAATTTTGGGTTAGAAATTGACAAATTGAGGAGGAAGTCTAGTGGTTTATCCAGGAGATTTGTTGTAGTTGTTCCTCTGTTTATATTTGATTTATCATAGCTTAAGGAGGAAGTTTAGGAAATGTTAATATCATTTATTTATTTCTATCCAGCATACACTTAATACTAATACTATTAACATGAAATATAGAGAAACCATCTGGAAAGAGTTTAAACGTGGGACAAATTTAATCATATCCTATATCCCAAAAGCTATTTCAATACCTTGCAATTTGTAGCCATTTCTGAATTTGATACCCAAAAGTCCTACAGATACAGACTTGCACAACCGTTCTCTGTTTGCTCTTCACGAACAACATTGGTCTTCACATCATTATTTCCCTTTCGAAGATCACGATAAAGATGAACGCTTATATGATGTGAGAAATTGAATGGTATGATTCACAGTTGCACACCAAAACTACTCAACTACAAAAACATGTTTTTCATCTCTTTCGCTACAAGGTTGAAACTTACCATAAAATAATTTTCGCCATGTTAATGCACTTTTTTCAGTGCTTCAAATGCCATTCATCAATGGGCTTTTGACTAATATTAAAAAATTATGAGCAAAGCACAGTTCCAAAATAAGATTAAAGAGAAATGAAGCAGCCCTCAAAAAATATTAGATACTGAAGAACACAGTGGATCAATGAGTTTATACCAAAAAGTTGATATTCCATGACATTCGAAAACCAAACACCAATTTCTTCTCATGAATAATAAAACCACATTACTTCTGTAGGAGTATTCAAAGGCCCTAAAAGTGCATCCAGATCTTGCACTCAAAAGCCAAAGCTATCAATCAAGAACATTTCATTCAGAACTACTAGTAACAACAACAACAACAACACTAAAGAACAGGGGAAAAATGAAAGAAGTACAGAGTACAACACCTATCAAGTATCAACTAACAACCCAAACTACTGTCCGCCCTCCCCTGATTCACGTTTCGATGCTTCCTTAATCTCGTCGCCAGCTTCATCCTACAGAAGTTGTCACAAAATCAGATATGTAAGATCAGATCAGATCAGACCAGACACAGCAGGTTCCAGAACATGACAGGACATTGCTACGAACTTTCCCTATATGGTCATTTAAGGCAATTGGCTAAGAGCCAGCTCGTGTGTACCACCATCTTGCTCTAATAGAGCAATTTGGAAGTTTTTAGGTTTGTGGTTCATCTCATGGATCTGTTCTCTACTTTGGATCTAAAGACTATTACTATTAGAGGAGAAAAAGACAATAGAAGACAGCAATCTGAATACAGGTTTACAACTTGATTGTGCAAAGGTAAGATTGGTAGCAGTGCAAAACAGAAGTCGAACAAGAGTAGCAAGACCTTTGTTGAAAACAAAATTGTGTAAGCAAAGCAATTCGTTGTTGAGGCATGAGCAGACACATTACTTACCCCAATATCAGAAGTCCAAAGGGTCAAGTTGTCTCGGAGGAGTTGCATGATCAAGGTGCTATCCTTGTATGATTCTTCACCCAATGTGTCGAGCTCAGAAATTGCTTCGTCAAAAGCCTTTGCGTAAAAGAGAATAAGCACGACATGAGCAAAATAATGTTATCATCAGCTAACCAAATTGAGTTATTAAAAGAAATCAATTTCTTTTAATAAAGCATTACAAAATTGAGTGCAATTGAGCATTAGAGCATTACCTGCTTCGCCAAATTGCAAGCACGGTCTGGCGAATTAAGGATCTCATAATAAAACACTGAGAAGTTAAGAGCAAGACCGAGCCTAATTGGATGAGTAGGAGCCAATTCAGCAAGAGCAATATCCTGTATTTATGGTTGACAATCATCCAGAAAACAGAGACTAAGTGTTACCAAAAGCACCACCAAGTAATAGAAACAGTAATATATATGAACTGAGAAGGAAGAAATTCGAGGTGGGGGCAACTTGACCTGAGCAGACTTGTAGGCTAACAGTGTGCTCTCAGCTGCTTCTTTCCTTTCAGCTCCAGTCTTAAACTCAGCCAGGTACCTGTGGTAATCACCTTTCATTTTGAGATAAAACACCTTGGACTCAGCAGATGAGGCTGATGGGATGAGATGAGACTCAAGTAGGCTCAAAATCCCATCACAGATCTTGCTCAGTTCAGTCTCGATTTTGCTGCGGTAATCCTTGATAATTGCGACATGGTCCTCATTTCCTCGACTCTCTTCCTTCTGCTCAATGGAAGAAATAATCCTCCATGAGGCCCTTCGAGCCCCAATGACATTCTTGTAAGCAACAGAGAGGAGATTCCTCTCCTCAACGGTCATCTCCTCGACATCCACTGTCTTCGCAACTTTCTCCATGAACTCAACCATTTCCTCATATCGTTCTGCCTGTTCGGCCAACTTGGCCATGTAAACATTTTCCTCCCGCGACATCCTCAATTTAACAAACTACTAATTCTCTACCCGACAAACACAAAGAAAAGTGGAAGAAAATCAGATCACATACATTGCAATTCAAGTTTTTACAATTCCAGAATTAAGATCCAGCAACAATTTCGAATTCAATTGTTTCAGGTTTGAGCCACTCAAATGTGTTTGTCCATTTTTCTATCCATAGGATCGAATCATACATCAGTAGACCGAACATAACCAGAAATGGAGTGATAAATGAATACTTTAAATTCATCAATCTTCCATACAGCAATACAACTAGCATTTACCCACCCACTTATACCCAAGAGAATAGAATCAATCCAAATTAAATCACAAAGGAAAGAAGAGAATTCAGGTCCCATTTTTCGTATACTTTATAGGTAGGCTAAACAACAATTAAATTAAAAAACCAATAAAAAAAGGCAATATAAAAGCAAATCACGATCAATTAATCAAGGAATTCCAAAAACAGAAAAGGAAATAGAAAGGGAAAAAAAGCAAAAACTCTTTGAGTCACCCTCACGTTAACCCTAGATCTCAACATCCAGCAAGAAAAATCGGGAAAAGGAAAACCTCAAACCTATAAAACAAACAATCCGAATGGAACGGTGTAAAAGTAACGAAATCCCTAGACCTAATCGAACCCTAACGAAATATTAAACAAAAAAAAAAAAAAAAAAAAAAAAA